GGTTCCCCCCCCCCCCCCCCCCCCCCCATTAAAAATATTAAGTGATCAATAAACACGGGAACAAATTATGACTCACTTTTGTTCTTCCTAACTTCGTTAGGTTCATCATGGTTTGCCATCCTTCATCTGGAATTTTTGCTTCTAGTTTGAAATACAGAAGAACCCAATCAGGGACACGGAATTGATGTAGATACTGTTGCAGCACATCTGGTACAAGCGCTTCGAGACCTCTCTTGACACCCTTCCTCTCTGTGACTGCGGTTACAATTTCAGAAATTATGTTCCGAGCTTCGCTTGGCTGTTTTGCGGGGTCGTGCGTACATAAATGGCCTATTACGGACGACACAGAAGCCTTATGCCGATCACATACATCTTCCAGCGTGCGAAGAATTTCTCCCGCGCTTTTTTTGCTGAGCCTCATCTTCTTTCGTTTCGGGGATTTCGCCGATTTCTCGTCCGTATTGGTGGACATTTGTTTGTGCATAGCAAGAAGACTCTGCAGTTCCATGATTTTATCCTTGGCTTCATTCAGCTCTTCTTTAAGACATGAGTTCGTGTCAGCATTCGAACTCGCGCCATTTCGTGACAGACCAGTGATCGCGCAATGACTATTAATTGCTTGCGCGATTCTTTTGAAAGAATCGCTGGCCAAGTAGCCCTGGTCGTTCAAATCGCGTTGACGAATTAGTCCTCCACAGAGACCAAGTGTCGAGGCGACCAGAACGTCGCATTTTCGGTATTTGATCCCGAACAAGTTCGGGTCAAGAGGACTTCCATTGTTATCACTAAGTTTACAGAATGGGATCTTGTGAACTTCGTCCGGAAAAAGGCGAAAAAAAGCATTGTCCATCCATTTTCGAAATGATGATCCGCCAATTTCATCGTTTAAGACATACCAGTATTTACTCGGAGCAAGACTTGTACTGCTAACTTGAACCAGCATTTCGATTACACTGCGTCCGAACTGAAGACTCAATCGAAATGGCGCGTAAATTTTGAAACTCGCGCCTCACTATCAACCTTTGGTTAATTTTTTAATTTATTAATCACTAATATTGCTAATATTAACTACTTGTAGTCTCCCAAAACAATAAAACGATGTATCGAAATATGTCAAATAAACAAGTATTGTCTAAACTACAAGTTCTTGTTTTCCAATATTGTTTGTTTGTATTTTTTTCTGTTTTGCGTTTTGCTTTTTTTTCGTGTTTTATTTCTGTTAATTGCTATGAGGAAGTTGTTGGAATGATTGCGTGACATGACGTAAATGGGTAACTGGGGAAAATTGCATTACCGTCGCACGGTTCTTTTTTACATACACTGGGAGAGTGCTCTCTTCAATCTTGATTTGCTTGATTTGACTGACTGTGAGAAAATTCCGATGCAAAAGATTTTTTGTTTAATCGGGCCGATTTGCTCTGAACAGCCGTTTCGTAATAAAACCAGGCCAAATCCGATCGGAACGACAAAGCCAACTGCTCAGACCTATTCAGCTAAATAAATCGACATACATGTTAATTCAATAATCTTTGTAAAGATTTCTTTTTTATTCCAAACACCACTACGAGTGTGTCTTTTTTCGTTATGAGAGAACAAAAAATAACCTAGCCTCCATAGCAGTCGTTTGCGCTCTAAGCGCATGGAAAAAAACAAAGGAAATTGCAAGCGAACGAGCGCGCCTCATCACCCCACTGCTCCTCATGTTTTCACTCGCACGCGCGTTCGTTTGTTCAGCGCTCCGCGCGCTTTGAAAGGAATCGACTGCTACGCCGCATTTAAGAGCGATTCCCGTCAGGTTTGTCTTAAAACAGGATAACTGCTGTATAGCTCACGTCGGCTTCATAAAATATTACATGTTATGACAAAACAAGGACAAAGTGTATAGGTTTTACGCTGCAACATTTATTTTTTACTTGACACCGAGGAGAAATATTGTAGTCCAGAAAACATATCACGAAGGCGCGCGACAGCAATCATCGCCGGAGACTCTCTGTCATCAAGGGAAATTTTTGATGAAGGCGTTTGAGCTCTCGTCTGACAACTTTTCGCACTAAAGGTGTCTTGCTCATTTAAGCGGTAGCCTTTTATCTTCTCACCGACCTGTCAACGAAATTAAGTGTCGAAAAATAAATCCAATTTACTCTGGGACGAAAATTTTAGCGGTTGCGGCTCCTCGTGAACAGAGTGGGATCTATTTTGGAGTGTTTAAGCAATGAAATGGGGAAAATGCAGTTTTTGCCTGGCTTTTTTAAGGTTTTTCTGCACTTATATAAGCATCATTTCTTTCCACTCCTAGTTATAGTGTCTATAACATTGAAGGAGTAAACAGAACCCAAGTAAACTGACAAGATCTTCAATCAGTTGAATCACAGGATGAACTTTGCAGTAAAAGTAAGTAAACAATTCAGTCAATTAATAAGACCAGTCACCCGTAATCTATGGTTAATGTAAAACTATGTTGCAACAAAACGTTCAAGACCTTTCAAATGCATATAACTTGTTTTAAGGCTTAGTCGTCGACTAGCTAATAAGAATACAGTTTTAAATTTTATAAAAATGTCGTGAAAAGCTGAACGTTTTTATTTTAACAAGGATCTGTTTGTTTGTCTGCGTTCTGAACGTTGTATTAGTTGACAACGTTCGCGAATAGATATTTTACGGTGCCTGGGCAACGTTTGCAGAAAGATATTTTAATGACAAGTTCTAATGGACTTCAGTTATGCAAGAATTAACTGAATGTAGACAAAAGTGTTACATGTTGTGTTCAACGTTTTGATTTACGTTCAATGTTTTTGGTTGTTTTTGTGTTTGCATAGATAATTCTATCTATGGTGTTTGTCTTCGCCTATTTCAACCTGGTGTTTGCAAAACCTCTTTTCTTGGAGAAGCCACTTCTGCGCAGCCAGGCCCTCAAACAACATTCACAAAGTCAAGACTCTCAGCCTGTAGTTGACGCTATTGAACCTGAAGAGAGCATAAGTCAAGAGAGTAATCACACGAGTGATGGAAATGGGTTCCTGGAAAGTCCAACTGCGCATGATCGCATTGCCAGGAATACTCACTCTTGTGTTTCAAAAGTTGTGAGAGAGTTCGATTCGTGTAGAAATCTCTGGGTTGATAAGGTAGAATGTAAAGGGAGACATCCATCCTGTAATTATGTAATACCTATACACAAAGTACCTAAGTGCCACACAGTGTACGGCTTCAGAAATGCTACGTTCGTGAACAAATGTTCTGCGTTGCCAATAGATTGTCAATGTGCCTCTTAAATTAACTTTGATAAAAAAAGTAATGTAAATGTAAATCAACGTTATCTTATTTTGTAATTTACTATTCTTACTAGTAACAGATTAAAACAACACTTTACACAAAGCTTTTTTAAGGCTTAGACAAGTGCTATATATATATATGTATATTTCTGCGGATGTTGTAAACAGCTGGTCTGTTTTAATGATGTCGTAGGTTTGAAAATAAACTTGATTCAGAGACTGCGAAAGAACTTGAGATGTATTGATATGGTGTAACAGCACGGAGGGGAGCAACTCTTGAAATCATCCACAAGCAAGTGTCATGAGACATTTCTTAATTTGTTCAAGATTCCACGATAAGCTCGTTTTTCATTCCCAGGTTTGGAACCCGAGTTCAGATTTCTCTAAATCCGGAGCCTAATGTTGATGCAGCGAGACAAACTGATTTCTCTTGTCTGCTCGATAAAGCCGGGATTGCCATTTCATGCATACAGGCTTTTGGGAATTTTTGACAAGGAAATTTCTAGGTGAGTAAATTCCCTGTTAGTTAAGGCCCCATAAGGTCGCAGTAGATTGAAAAGAAACTGATACCATACGACAAGAACTAAAGAAAGAATTACTTCAAAGCAAATTTTTGGCTGAGTCATGAAGGTTAGCTACAACCCAAGTCAAGACAAGAGCATTTGGGAACGCTATAAATACAAGCCTCATTACTTACATTTAGCAGAGCACTGCAAATACCTTTCATAAATCTCATGTAAAACCTCTCTCCCATTAGTGATATTTGTCGAGTGTTATTGCTCTTTTCACACTACACTACTTACATTATTTACATTACAATACGATTGCTTACGCTACTTACAATACAATACCATTAACGCACGCTTATTTTTGTACTAGCGACCATTAATTGCAATTATTATACATTGAACTCACTTTCTCTTTTCTGATTGGTCGAAAGCGTACAATGAATTTTCGAAATCAGCACCTGTTACGTCATCTAGCTGCAGATTATACAATAATCATGTCAAGGACACTCAAGGTCACGGTAATCATGTCATGTATGACCGTGGTGCATGATTTCTAAGGGTAATCATGACAAGTTCGCGAGCTTTGTGCTGCTTCCCGTCAATGAAGAAACAAAAACATGACTTCCATATTTGTTTTTCGTTCAATCTATAATAAAACAATTATTAGATACGGTATTTGTGATATCCATAATAATCAAGGTGGAGGTACGGGTTATCAGCCGGAGCCGAAGGCTGCGGCTGATAACCCTTACCGAGAGCCAATAATTGTTTATAAAAACGCTCACAATACGTTAATTACACTAAACAAGTCACATTACATTAACCACGACAATTGTTATTTCACCGTGAAAACGGCCTTGACGCAGGCATAAGCTCAACCACAACGATATTTACAACATGCTGTTATGTTTTGCCAGTGAAAACACTGGATCCAGATAACCTCGCGCCTAAACAGTTTGGAATGTTCGGATGATTTTGCTTGTGCTTGTGTTTGCGTCGAATTTTGTTTTCACTTGGGTCATCCCTATTGCTTGCGCTTGTGCTTACGTCGCTAGTGAAAACCAGGCTTAATGCTACTTGAAATAAACTATTTACAATACATTAATTATGATAAACTTCTTACATTAATTACAATAAGTACCCAACTAAATTACTTTTACATCAGTAATAATAAAATAGTCAAGTTACTTACAATATGTTACACTAAAGAAGTGTTTAGTTTGTTACACAAATTTTAGCATTACACCTCAGCAATTTCACATATGTGTAAAGCCGTTAACTATTGACATACAGTTTCTCTCTTTACATAATTCAAGTTAGATAATACGCTCGTGGTCTCCTTTGGAAAATATAGAATTGTTTGAGCGAACGTGCTAGAAGACCAAATAATATTGGAAGAGGAATGGAAGAGTGGGGCCGGGAGGAGAAGGAGAAGAGGAGGAGGGAGGGATGTGCGGTTAATGCCAAATTCTCAATATTCTTATGTCCTCAGTCTGCGCTAGTGAATAGCGAAAAGTCAGGAGGGGGTCTAGTTTTAATCCAAGCCAATTTAACCGCAGGGTAAAAATGATTTGATGCTTCTTGACAAGAAATGTGTTAAATCCGGCATCTACTATACCTGTCAACGGAATGACTCCGAAAACAAAATCAGGCAATTAAAAACCTCTCAGGTTTCTGGAAACATTTATAGCGCCAATCCACTGCACTCACACTTATATATAAAGCAATGGTACTTGCGATAGCTTTTTCACTGTCAAAACGGGAAAACAGTCGGGTTTTTCGCTTTCAACTGTGCCGTGTTGTTTCTTTAACCGTAAAATTGTTTACACGGAAATGTTTCCGTTTAAAAATTAACCCCTAAAAAAGCGTATCCAATTGTTATTTGGTTAAAACCGAAAATCGAAATAGTTGCCTTTCTTTCAAAATTATGCGTTGCATCTTTGGAAATACCTCTGGTATCTAACAAACACGAATCTGACAGCGCTCCCTGTATTCAACGGCCGCCTGCTTGCTCGTTGTAAATTTCTCCAGCTAACAATTTTTATGTGTTCCCATTTAGTGTCAAAGGAAACATACAGTCGACTCCTGATAACTTTGATAACTCGCACCCTCACTAATTCGAACCTCGCTCTAACTCAAACCAAAATTGATTTCCCCTGGATTTCCTACATTTACTGCAATTTTACCCCCGCGATAACTGACTATGTGGTCTATGTGACTGGAATCGCCTGCTAACTTGAGTTAATTTTCGTTTCCCTCGCCGTTATTTTCTACATCATTTGACCTTCAATAATTCGAGCCGTGTTGGTCAACATGCGACCGCTGCTAGTAGCATAAAGTCAATGAATTCTGTAGCAGTATCCCGATGTTGTTCCTTTTGAAACCCGCAAAGATCGTAGTAAATGGAGTTGCGATCTCCTGTTGCTTTGCTTTCCTTTGTTCTGTTTCACGTTACGTCTGTAATTAAATTTGATTAAAATAAACACTGTATAAATAGAGACACGAAAGTAGAAATATGGTAAATACCTTTTTTTCCTTATTTTGGGTCCTTTGTTCGCAACTCCTGATAACGTGAACTCCCGATAACTCGAACCTTTTTCAATAGCCCTTTTCACGGTAACCTTTGCTCCTTTGCATTAACATAAAATCTAACATATATGTGAGGCAATTTCGGGCTATTTAGTTTTTGCGCGAAATTGCAATTGCCTCACATCCACGTTGGATTACATTGTACTGCAAATGAGAAAGATTAACCGTGAAAAGGGCTATTTTCCCATTTTTGGGAATTTCCAAAATTTCCAACTGTGCCGCATTTTTCCAACTGTTCTCCATTTTTCCAACTGTGCCGTATTTTTTGAACTGTTGCCCATTTTTCCAACTGTGCCGCATTTTTCCAACTGTGCCGCATTTTTCCAACTGTTGCCCATTTTTCCAACTGTTCCGCATTTTGTCAAGTCTGCCGCATTTTTCCAAGTGTGCCGCATTTTTCCAAGTGTGCCGCATTTTTCCAAATGTGCCGTATTTTTTGAACTGTTGGCCATTTTTCCAACTGTGCCGCATTTTTTCAAGTATGCCGCATTTTTCTAAGTGTGCCGCATTTTTGCCAGGTGCGGCGCATTTTCCAAGTGAGCCGAATTTTTCCAAGTGTGCCGCATTTTTACAAATGTGCCGTATTTTTTGAACTGTTGCCAATTTTTCCAACTGTGCCGCATTTTTTCAAATGTGCCGCATTTTTCTAAGTGTGCCGCATTTTTCAAAGTATACCGTACTTTTCCAAGTGTGCCGCATTTTTCCAAGTGCAGAACATTTTTCCAAGTGTGCCGCATTTTTCCAACTATGCGGTATTTTTCCAAGTATATCGTATTTTTCCAAGTGTGCCGCATTTTCCCAAGTGCAGAACATTTTTCCAAGTGTGTCGAATTTTTCGAACTGTTGCCCATTTTTCCAACTGTGCCGCATTTTTTCAAATGTGCCGCATTTTTCCAACTGAGCCGCATTTTTCCAACTGTGCCGCATTTTTCTAAGGGTGCCGCATTCTTCCAATTATACCGTATTTTTCCAAGTGTGCCGCATTTTTCCAAGTGCAGAACATTTTTCCAAGTGTGCCGCATTTTTACCAAGCGTGCAGCATTTTTCCCACTGTGCCACATTTTTCCAACTGTGCCGCATTTTTCCAACTGTTCCGCATTTTGTCAAGTCTGCCGCATTTCTCCAAGCGTGCCGCATTTTTTGAACTGTTGCCAATTTTTCCAACTGTGCCGCATTTTTTCAAGTGTGCCGCATTTTTCCAAGTGTGCCGCATTTTTCCAACTGTGCCGCATTTTTCTAAGGGTGCCGCATTTTTCCAATTATACCGTATTTTTCCAAGTGTGCCGCATTCTTCCAAGTGCAGAACATTTTTCCAAGTGTGCCGCATTTTTCGAACTGTTGCCCATTTTTCCAACTGTGCCGCATTTTTCCAACTGAGTGGCATTTTTCCAAGTGTGCCGCATTTTTCTAACTATGCGGCATTTTTCCAAGTGTGGCGCATTTTTCAAACTGTTGCCTATTTTTCCAACTGTGCCGCACTTTTTAAAGTGTGCCGCATTTTACCAAGTGTGCGGCATTTTTCCCACTGTGCCGCATTTTTCCAACTGCGCCCCATTTTTCCACCTGTGCCGCCTTTTTTTAAATAGGCCGCATTCAAATGTGCCGTATTTTTTGAACTGTTGCCCATTTTTCCAACTTTTCCGCATTTTTTTTTAATGCGCCGCATTTTTCCAAGTGTGCCGCATTTTTCCAAGTGTGCCGTATTTTCCTAAGTGTTCCGCATTTTTCAGAGTGTGCAGTTTTTTTCCAAGTGTGCTGCATTTCTCCAAGTTTGGCGCAATTTTTCAAGTGTGTCGCACTTTTCCAAGTGTGGCGCATTTTTCCAACTGTTCCCCATTTTTCCAAGTGTGCCGCATTTTTTAGAGTGTGCAGTTTTTTTCCGAGTGTGCTGCATTTCTCCAAGTCTGCCGCAATTTTTCAAGTGTGCCGCACTTTTCCAAGTGTGGCGCATTTTTCCAAAATTCCCGCACTTTTCCAAGTTTGCCGTATTTTTCAAAGTGTGCCGCACTTTTCCAAGTGTGCCGCACTTTTCCAAGTGTGCCGCATTTTTCCTAGTGTGCCGTCTTTTTCCAAGTGTGCTGCATTTCTCTAAGTCTGCCGCATTTTTTCAAGTGTGCCGCAATTTTTCAATATTTGCTGCATTTTTTCCGACTGTGCCGCCTTTTTTCAACTATGCGGCATTTTTCCAAGTGTGGCGCATTTTTCGAACTGTTACCCATTTTTTTAACTGTGCCGCATTTTTTCAAATGTGTCGCAATTTTCCAAGTGTGCGGAATTTTTGCAAGTTTGCCGCATTTTTCCAAGTCTGCCACATTTTTCCAAGTGTGCCGCACTTTTCCAAGTGTGCCGCATTTTTCCAACTGTCCCACATTTTTCCAACTGTGCCGCATATTTTTAAGTGTGCCGCATTTTTCCAAGCCTGCCGCATTTTTC